CCTCGTGTAACCTCCCGGGAGGCCAGTACCAACCAGGAGGGACACGGGTCCAATAAACATGCGGCAGCGTTAAGCTTGCCCAGAATCCTGTCCACGTCCTCAGGAGCCACAGAGTCAAACTCTTCCCAGATAACGCTCTCAAGACCTGCCCCCGTCTCCTCCCCTGGATCTACCCAATCGGAGTCCAGGCCTTCCCGAATCTGAGCGACTTTATCATGCAGGAATTGTACAAAATCCTCAGCTCGACCCTTTAAGGGATCTTCCCGTACCCCCACCTGAAGTAGGGAGCGGGTCACCCTAAACAGCGCAGCTGGGCGGTTCTCTGCAGATGCAATAAGAGCGGAGAAGTAGCTAGACTTCGCCGCTCTTATCGCCACTAGGTAGGTCTTAATATAAGATCTCACCTGTGTTCGGTCAGATTCAGATCGGCTTGTCCTCCAATCGCTCTCCAGGCGTCTTTTCCGACGCTTCATCTCTCTCAGCTCCTCGGAAAACCAAGGAGCTAGACGAGATCGGCATCGAGTCAGAGGCCGCAAAGGCACAACGCGGTCCAAGGCCACAGTAGCCGCCCTTTCCCAGGCGACCACCAGGTCCTCAGTCGAGTCGTGAGCCAGAGTCTCAGGAAATGGCCCAAGCTCCATCAGGAACCTTTCGGGGTCCATCAGGCACCTGGGACGGAACCATTTGGTTGGTTCCGTCTCCCTGCGGTGGGTAGAAGTTACTTGAAAGTCCATGTGAAGGAGAGAATGATCAGACCATGACAAGGGCTTGATGTCTATATCCCCTATTCTTAGATCATTCAGCCACTGATCAGAGACAAAAATCAAATCCAGAGTGTGATTCCCCAAGTGGGTGGGGCCTTGAACTACCTGGGTCAGGTCCATGGCCGTCATGGAAGCCATGAACTCCGAGCCGTCTCCGACATCTCACCAGCGGATGGCAGGTTAAAATCCCCCATAACAATAAGTCTGGGGGTTTCCACCGCCACCCCGGCTATAATGTCGAGCAGCTCAGGCAGGACCGCTGTTACGTGGCAGGGAGCCAGGTACGCAATCAGTAGGCCCATCTGAATCCCCCGACCCCACTTCACAAGGAGGGACTCACATCCAACTATCTGAGGAACAGTGGCCTCCCTCGGGCAAAGACTTTCTCTAATGATTGCTGCCACTCCCCCACCCCTTCCCTGAGTCCTTGGCTGATGGAATGCACGGAAACCTGGCGGGCACATTTCCACAAGGGGAATTCCTCCCTCCTGGCCTAACCAGGTCTCCGTAATCCCTGCCAGGTCAGCACCCCCCTCTGAAATAAGATCATGAATGAGGGGGGCTTTATTTACCACTGACCTGGCATTACATAACATCAGCCGTAGACCCAGGGTCTGAGACTGTGAACAACCCGGGAAACGAGCAGTGCTTTGGGGGTCGGAGTGGGCAATCGCTCGTAAACAACAAGTGCGCACTCCCGAAACATAATATGGCCCCCTGCAGCCATCATATCTGCCCCTCCCACTTACTATACTAATGCCCATCGCTTCATCCCCCTGCATCCTTGTCAGATTTCTGTCCCCATCCTCCCACCATGATTATCAGACCCATTTCCCCTTTCAGTGGATTTATGGATCCCCGCAGATCCATTCCCACAATCCCTCCCAGAACCCCTTAAAATAGAACTTAAAGATTTATCTAAAAACCCCCAAAGCCATCGGTTTTTTGCAAACCACCTCTCAGGGTTCCAAAACCCGTCCTCAAGGGCAGCCCTTGATAACTGAGAGGGCCAGACATGCGAGAGGGGGGAATCTCGCAGTGCAAGGAGCTCCGCAGTTGAATACATCAAAGATAGGAGCGAGTTGAAGGAGATGAAGGATCATTTTCTTCTAAGAGTGTTAGAGATGGTTAAGACAGGTAATTTAAAATAAGGGAGGAAATAGATGTTAAAGGAAGACCAATATGTTACAAATGTCAATACATTGGAACATCATCGCCCTCTCACGACGATGGGAAGTCTTGTGGTTGTAGTAAGTCCATCCAAAGGAGGTGGGGGTAGAGGTCTCAAAGGGTCGTCCTCTCACAGCGACCAAACCATTTGAAACAAACAAAGAGAAGGTGGTCTATCTCCCCATAATCCAAGACTCTCGATGTCTGTATCTCCTCCAGTCCTGATACCAGCAATGGCCGAGGATTAGATCAAAAAAGTAAGGCAGAGCCACTGGACAAAGTATTTAGGGTTAAATAATCAGGGTAATCTTGGGGAATAGGTGGTAAATAAAGCTGCAGATCAATCTAAGATTGCAAGTTAACGCTGAGTGGTCGTAATAGACCTAGATCTGATAAAGGAGAGAGGGACAGTTGAGGGGGAGAGTAAGTCATCATCTCCAGTTTGTAATCCTCAGTCCCTATCCATCACCTTGCTCAGGCTACTTAGTTCAATTAGTTTAATAAGTCCTCAGAGTTTCAAGAAAGAGGAGTGCAACTCATCCCTAGAGGTTGAAGGGATCCTAACATTTATAGCCTTTGCAGCATTGCCCTCTCCTCTATTAACAACGAGGGCTTCCTTGCAGCCTCCTGGTGTTGCCATCGCTGCCATTAGCACCATTCCCCTGGCCATTGTGGTAACCCCCCTTGCCATAGACATCATCGCCGCCGTGTTGCTACATGCAGCGCCTATTAGCCCAGGCATCATTATCAACACCCTATCCGGAGTCGCTGTTGCCACCGTCTCGCCAACCATTTCATGTATTAGACTCAGGGGTTGACCCGGTCGTGACAGCCAGGCTTTGATGTTGACATCCTCCCCACCGCCCTCAGTCTTTTTACCGACAAACAGCTGATCTTCGGGCTCCGCTCGGGTTTTATCCTTGGGCTCCATCCACAGCTCTATTGAGCCGAAAATACCTCAGCTTGCTGGGAGGGGGGGTCTGTGGATGGTTAATTGACCCCCACACTCTTGAAAATGTCGAAACATCTCCCTCCTAGCCTCGGAGTTTCAGCTCTGAGCTGCCATTTTGTTTTGCAACTGTCAACGGAATGGTTATAGATTACTGGCTCTGTGTGAAGCTGGATGAAAGCACTGAGTGGCTCCAATCTGGGAAATAGGAACAAGGAGGTCCATAACAAGATTCCAGAGAATCGAGGAAGTTGGAATAATGGATAGTAGCTGCAAGATGGAGTTCAACAAGGACAAACCTGCAGCCCTCTATTTGTGTAGGGAAAATATGACCCAGCATTGCATGGCAGTGAGATGGGCAGGATATAAATTTAATTAATAAGTAGGTAAGTAAGTAAGTAAATAAATTTTAAAAAATCAAAGGCATGAAGTGACTGTGTAAGAAACTGATGGAAATAGTGTTGTTTTTGCAAAGAAAGCAACTTTTGAGAGATGTGCGTTTAAAAGTTCAGTGGAATATTGGAACATTAAAAGGCAAAAAGGTAAAGATTGGAAAACAAGAAGGGTTTGCTATTTTGGTAAACTATTATATAAGCAGATTAGCTAACCAAACAGTCTAGCATATAGTAGAGAAATTAACTTTTTGCCTCAATTTATTAAGCTTATGCTCTTCGGATTGTAAGAAAACAGGAAATGTAGGTTAAGAAATAAATCTAAAAAGGGAGTAGTCCACAAAAAAGGGAACAGGGCAAAAAATGGGAAGGCAGATTAAACATGGGGAAATTCATGGAGAAGGGAAACAGGTGTTCCGAGAAGATTTGACCCTGTAGTCTTTGTCAAAGTGGGCTGCAAGGGAGGGACTTGTGCTTCGGGTTGAGGGAATAAAAAGCTGTTGAAATACATTCTTGAGTGTGGTGTGGGCCTACTTGCTAGCCACCTGCTCTTGCAAGAACTTATTTTATAATAAATTGTTTGCTGCTTCACTTCATGACTCTGTCAAATTTCTGACTGGTGAGTCCGTTTCTCACAACTGCACTGGATAGACCACATCTGGAAAGCATTTGGATATCATTCTGAATCCCAAGCTGCACAGGAGCCAAAAGAGTGATTCTGCCACAAAATAAACGTTTTAACATGTGATCCTTGACCGCATCAAAAGAAGTATAGTGTTGTTGCTCCTTGCTATTCCGCACTGGTCAGACTTAGAACATAGAATAAATTCTCAGGAGGTGCTCAGTTGGAGACTGGAGGGTCAACTGTGGCAGTATATTACAAGAGAGGATTGTTCTATCTAGATCAGGGGTCAGCAACCTGCGGCTCTAGAGCCGCATGCGGCTCTTTGGGCCTTCTACTGTGGCTCCCTGTCGGGTGATCCCACCACTGGCTGGCCCCGCCCCTCGCCCTCCCCTCCCAATCACTCCTGGCCTGAGAAGGTAAGGGTGACAGTGGGGGATGGAGAAGCAGCCAGGGCAGGGACAGAGAGATACAGAGAGGGGGAGAGAGAGAAAGACATAGAGAGATACAGAGGGAGAGGGAGGGAGGGGAGAGAGAGACATGTCAAAAGGATTTTATGATTCCCGGTGTTTTTTAACAACCGGTTCTCTGCCCTAATGACTGGCTGGGTAGGCGTGGCTGGGGGGAGGTCATGTGATTGGTGGAAATGAGCGACATTGAGTTGGCCCCGCCCACCCAGGTTTTGTGGCTCCCGGTGTTTTCTTTTCTGTGGGAAACGGGTCCAAATGGCTCTTTGAGTGCTTAAGGTTGCAGACCCCTGATCTAGATGGTCCTGAATGTTATTGACAAACGGCTGCATGAGTTGATTACAAGAAGTGAACATTCTCCGGCTACTTTCAGAGGACTGAGAAACTTTACCGATCAAGGGGCTTCAACAGAGGATGGATGGCCATTCAGTGCACCCAGAAACGCAGTGAGAGGGTTGGATGGATCAAGTGTTTCTCAATTCTGGCAATATGAAGACTTCAACTCCCAGAATCCCTCACCCAGCAGGGCAGGGAGTTGAAGCCGCCCACCTCCGAGAAACACTGGACCAGACGATCCGCGAGGCCCCGCCCAGTCGAGGCCGAAAGCCAATCGCAGGCGAAAGCCTCGACTCTTACCGGGTGCCGCTTCGCCAGACGGCGCTCTTCTGCGGGAACGTAAGGCCGTAGAGCTACGAAAATACAGAGGAGGCCGCGCGCCGTCTTGTCAGCTGGTCAAGAGCTCCCGGTGAAAACAGACGTGAAAGTCGGTCGCGTTAAGCCGCGCCGGGGGGCGTTGACAAACGCTGGCTGGTTTCTCACGAGGTGCTCACCCGGGCTACCTCACTTCACCCCTCGACTGTTTCTCCACCCTACGCTGAAGCGCCCTCGAGTCAATCCTAGGGGGTCCAAATTCCTTCAAAGGGCCCTTCCAGAAGGCCGCTGGTTGACACGGGGAGCAGCCCTTGCGACCCCCGTCCTTTGCCACAGGCCCCGCGGCAAAACCCCGACGGAAACCAAAATAATTGGAAAGGAACCCGGAATTCGCCCCTCTTCGGATGAGGCGAAGTCGGGGAGTCTATATATGGCCAGAAACGCTCCTCTCGGCTCGAGTTTGGCACGGAAAGGGGAGATCCCGCCCACCACCTATCACCGCGCGCGCATGCGTAGTAAGGGACCGCCGCAACCCGAGAGTTCGATGCTCGCGCCTGGCCGCCGTCTCCGGCTCGCGCATGCGCGAGGCTGGTATCAAAGCGCTGAGGTAAACTGACCTGAAGAGGGACTCGGGGGGGCGGGGGGGGGTGCGGGGGGGGGGGCACGCCGGGGGGGGGTGGGGCCTCTCTTGCTGCTCTCTGCCCACAACGTCCCTGCCAGGGGGCGGGCGGGGGGGGCCTCCTAAGGGGGGGGGGGGAGGGGGGGGCTCCCCTTGTCCACCGCCCACCGCTTCCCCTCCCCCCACCAGGGCCGTCAACATGAACCCCGCTCAGGGCACGGTGGGCAGCGACCCGGTCATCCTGGCTACGGCCGGCTACGACCACACGGTGCGCTTCTGGCAGGCGCACAGCGGCATCTGCACGCGGACCGTCCAGCACCAGGACTCGGTATCCTTTGGAGGGGCTGGTGGGGGGGAGGGTCTCGCACGGATCCCCGCAGCCTTCCTTAACCCCGCCCGCAGCAGGTCAACGCCCTGGAGATCACCCCGGACCGCACCATGGTGGCCGCGGCAGGTAAGAGAAAGGTAAAGGGGCGGCTGGCTTGGCTTCTCTGGGGAGGGGGCGCTGGCCGGGCAGGGGGTTCAGCTGCTCTAGTGCTCTGGGCCAGGGGTCTCCAAACTGGGCCACTCGCCCCCAACCTTTCTGGCTTTGCGATGGGGTGGGGGCAGGCAGGTGGCCAGCAATGGTTTTGTGTGAGTGGCTTGGGCAGCCCTGTTCTGAATGGGCTCAGTACCCAGGTTGGGGATAGAATAGAATAGAATTTTTTATTGGCCAAGTGTGATTGGACACACAAGGAATTTGTCTTGGTGCATACGCTCTCAGTGTACATAAAAGAAAACATACGAACCATAACGTACAACACTTAATGATAGTCATAGGGAAACAGTCAATATAAATCTTAAGGATACCAGCAATAAGGTTACAGTCATACTGTCGTAAGTGGGAGGAGATGGGTGATAGGAACGATGAGAAGATTAATAGTAATGCAGATTTAGTGAATAGTTTGACAGTGTTGAGGAAATTATTTGTTTAGCAGAGTGATGGCATTTGGGAAAAGCTGTTCTTGTATCTAGTTGTTCTGGTGTGCAGTGCTCTATAGCGTCGTTGTTTTGAGGGTAGGAGTTGAAACAGTTTATGTCCAGGATGCGAGGGGTCTGTAGATATTTTCACAGCCCTCTTTTTGACTTGTGCAGTATACAGGTCCTCAATGGAAGGCAGGTTGGTAGCCATTGTTTTTTCTGCAGTTCTGCAGAGGGGATCCCTGCTCTGGGCATTGCTGCAGATAAAGATGTCTCTGGGTCCTATATAAAGACAGTGCATCGAAGGCTGTGCAAACCAATAATAGCTATATAGCATTTATACATCGCCAAAGTGACTATTTTTCACACTTACGACTGTTGCAGCATTCCCATGGTCACAGGATCAGATTTCAGACACTTGGCAACTGATTCAAATTTATGACGGTTGCAGTGTTCCCGAGATTATATGATCCCCTTTTGCAACTTTCTGACAAGCAAAGTCAATGGGGAAGCCAGATTCACTTAACAACCACTGACTTAACAACTGCGGTGATTCACTTAACCAATAGCACTTAGACTGCAATTTGGCAGTTTTAATCTCATTGGGTTCACGGTTGTTTTGGCAAGAAGCTGACTCTGTAAACTGGTTAGAGAAGGCTGTGAAGCAGTATATAAGTCTAAGGGCTATTGGGAAGGGGGGAGGGAGGAAGAAAGAAAGAAAGAAAGAAAGAGAAAGAAAGGGAAGGAAGGAAAGAAAGAGAAGAAAGAAAGAAAAAGAGAGAGAGAGAGGGAAAAGAAAGAAAAGAAAGAAGGAGCTGTGGTGGTACAGTGGTTAGAGTGCAGTACTGCAGGCTACTTCTGCTGCCTGCTGGTTGCCTGCAATTTGGCAGTTCAAATCTCACCAGGCTCAAGGTTGACACTGCCTTCCATCCTTCTGAGGTGGGTAAAATGAGGACTCAGATTGTTGGGGGGGCAAGAGGCTGACTCTTTAAACTGCTTAGAGAGGACTGTAAAGCACTGTAAAACGGTTTATAAGTCTTAGTGCTATTGCTGTTGCATCCATTTTTTAAAAGAAACAATGGAGTTTCCAGGCAGTTCGGTGAGTTGTGATGAAAGGTTGGTTACCCAAATTCAGATTAAGATTAGTGACAGACAAGTGACCTTCAGTCTTGGATCATTGGTTGGTGAGAGCAGTTGTTTTAATCCCTTTAAGAGTTCAGAAGGAGCATAATGCTGACCTGGTGCTATTTCTCTCTGTGTGAAACTGTTTTGTTGCTTTGACTCCCTATAAACTAGTTGGTGTCTCTTGTCCAGGTTACCAGCACATCCGCATGTATGACCTGAATTCCAATAACCCCAACCCGGTGATCAACTACGATGGGGTCAGCAAGAACATTACCTCGGTTGGCTTCCATGAAGACGGACGGTGGATGTACACGGGAGGCGAAGACTGCATGGCTCGCATCTGGGACCTCCGGTGGGGCTTTTATGGTTGACCTCGTACCTTTCAGGGGAAGCCCAAGACCGACCGGGAATAGGCAGACGTGGAAAGGGGGCAGCCGAGGAGGAATCAGACGTTCATTTTGCCCACATGATGGGCAGCTTTGCAAATTGCAGAAAGTGGGGAAAGGAGTAAAACTGACCAAATGATGGTTTAGAACAGGGGTTACCAACCTTGGCAACTTTAAGCCTGGCGGACTTCAACTCCCAGAATTCCCCAGCCAGCAAAGCTGGGAATTCTGGGAGTTGAAGTCCGCCAGGCTTAAAGTTGCCAAGGTTGGTGACCTCTGATTTAGAAAATCAAATGCCTCAAATTTCATGTGATCTTACCTGTGTGCATGGAGAGAGATCTTGTAAGGTTTTGTTACCTCATTAAAGTTGGATCATTCTTACAATTTAAAGAGAACCCTCCAAGGGCACTGTGGACATCATGAGGCACTGAGTGCCAGCATAGATACAGTTTCAGCTTGGGTTGGGTGTGCCCGTCAAGGTGGCCTGTGTATCCCATTGTCGGTAAGAGAGTCTGAAGGGAGGTTGGGCAGCTTTGAAACCGGTGGGGTGAGAAGCTGCTCTGAATCGGGAGTTTCTCAGTGTGATAAAGAATTAACACCAAAATGACTGAGGTGTTCCTCTTGGGGCTGAATCTGAGTTGTTGTTTTTTCTCCCATGAGCAGAATCTTTATTGGAAGCACCTCAGTATGAGTTTTGGTGAACTTTCATCTTTTTTCAAAAGAACCTTCCTGAGGTTGCTGCTTTACGGTTCTGCCTTAAGTGAAGAGAGGAAAAGTGAAGGGATGAAGAGAGAAAGAAGCTAGTGAGTAAATCCTGCTCCTTGTAGGACTGAAAATATGCCTTGGAAATTCTGAGGGCCTGAACGCTTCAAGGTTTTCCCAGAGGGGACAGATACTCTACTGAAGCACAAGCAGCTAAAGCAGGGGTGAATTCTGGGATTTGAAGTCCACAAGTCTTAAAATTGCCAAATTGGACACCCGTGAGCTAGAGAGTCTGGTGTCTCCTTAAAGATGTCTGTATTTTTTCTGACAAAAGCATTTGCCATCTGGCATCTGCAGCTGAAAAGGTCTCTCCTGACCCCCAGCCTGTTGTGGAAGACAGGGATGGCTATGCCAGAGCCATCTTCGACAGCATCACAGCCATCACTCTTAGGCTCTTTGGACGGTACCTGGAATGCAAGAAGTCCCAGCAGTCCCTTGGTTCACCCCCGTCATGTTGTTTGTCTCTTCCTAGGTCACGCAATCTTCAGTGCCAACGCATTTTCCAGGTGAACGCGCCCATCAACTGCGTCTGCTTGCATCCCAATCAGGTACCTGAGGCGGGATCCCCTGCTCTCGGGCTGCATGGGGGAAGAGAGTGCAGGAAGGACCAAAATCTCCTGCTTTGTTTCTTCCCAGGCTGAGCTCATTGTCGGAGACCAGAGTGGCGCTATCCACATCTGGGATCTGAAAACGGATCACAACGAGCAGCTCATCCCAGAGCCAGAGGTCTCGGTCAACGCGGTACATATTGATCCTGATGCCAGCTACATGGCTGCGGTCAACAGTTCGGTAAGGACAGCCTGCCCTGAACTAACCGAGTTCCTCAGTTAGCCTTCGTCGTGGTGTAGAGCCAGCAGACCAGGTGTTTTCAGCCACCTCTCCTCCTGCAGGGCAACTGTTACGTGTGGAATCTCACGGGGGGCATTGGAGACGAGGTCACCCAGCTCATCCCCAAGACCAAGATCCCTGCGCACAACCGCTATGCACTCCAGTGCAAATTCAGCCCGGACTCCACGTGAGTAGTTGGTGAGATTGCTGTGTTTTCTTGGCCCTGGAAAAGCAGGAATCTTCCCTCTTGGGGAAGGGTAGGAGAAATATTGGCCTGGCAGACCAAACTGGCTTTGAGCAAGAGGAATAGTGTTGGCATGTAACATGTGGGCTGAGCGATGGTTGTGACTGGGTGGCATCTCCCTCTTGTAGTGGGCCTGTGTCTCCTGGCATCCTCTGTCCAACCCCTACTAAATTTCAGACTTGGAAGAATCTTTGCAACTGTAAAAGCTACCACATTTTTTGGAGTATAAGATGCACTCCCCACCCCCAAAAGAGGGTGGAGATGTTGCTGCATCTTATAGACCGAATACAGGCATTTTTGACCTCCCGAAGCCCTGCCCTGCGTGTCCTGTTTTTCATATAAACAGGGCACACAGAGGATTTGGGAGGCCTGCAAAGTGCTCCTGTGGGCTGGGGAGGGCAAAAACTTTTTCTTGCTTACCTCTTTGAAATCTTGGTGCGTCTTATACACTGGTGTGTCTTACAGTCCAAAAAATATGGCAATTTGGAACTCAAACCCAGTCATAACTGGGTAAAGAGCAGGGAGTCCCTCTTTCCTGCTCTGTCCAGTCCAGCCTCAAGTGGTGTGGACAAGATGGCAGAGAGAGGGGATTGGGCATGGGGCAGGTCCTTCCAAAGGAGATAGTTAAGACCCCCAAGCCTGGCCCATATTAGGAGACCGAGAACTACCCTGAATTTGGGAGCCTGATTAGTCGGCCCTGATCTAGCAGCTCCTTTCATCTTCTTTGCCAATTCTTGATCTGTCCAGTCTTGAGTCGTCTGGGAGCCATCTTCCCAGTTCCTCAGATAAGGCCAGAAAAGGAGCTAACCTGCTCCGATTTGGAGTAATGGGCCGGATCTGTCAGGCTCCTGCTGTCAGCTCGTTTGCTTTCTCCCCTTTCTCCAGGCTTTTGGCCACTTGCTCTGCTGACCAGACGTGTAAAATATGGAGGACCTCCAACTTCTCGCTGATGACAGAACTGAGCATCAAGAGCAACAACCCCGGGGAGACCTCCCGTGGCTGGATGTGGGACTGTGCCTTTTCGGGGGATTCCCAGTACATTGTCACAGGTGAGAGGGGCGGAGCCCACAGGCCCACCTGGCCAAGGAAGCGGCTCTTGGGCGGCCTGGAGCAGGGAAGAGTCGATGCATCTCTTCCTTTCCCCTTTTACCCAAAGTATAGATGCCACTTCAATAGCATTTTGAATCCACTTGTTCTCCCTAGAGTGGTACAGGTTGTTCTCAACTTATGACCACAATTGAGCCCAAAACTTGTTGCTTAGTGTGACAGTTGTTAAGTGACTTTTGCCCCATTTTATGACTTTTCTTGCCACAATTGTTGAGTGAATCACTGCAGTTGTCAGATTAGTAACACAGTTGTTAAGTGAATCTGGCCTCCCCGTGGACTTTGCTTGTCTGAAGATCGCAAACGGGGATCACATGACCCCAAGACAATGCAGCTGTCATAAATAAGAGCCAATTTGCCAAGTGCAGGAATTTCGATCATGTGACCATGGGGATGCCACAACAGTCATAAGTGTGAGAAATGGTCATAAGTCACCTTTTTCAGTGCTGTCGTAACTTCAAATGGTCACTAAACGAATGGTTGTAAGTTGAGGACTACCTGTATTGTCCCATATTTTGGAAAAGGAAAGAAGGAGCAGTTCACTGGCCAGCCCTGTATTTTGCTCCTGTTATAGAGGCAAGCCATGAACTGGTCTTTCGGACTTTGTGATGTTCTTTTAAGGCTTAAGATCCTAGGGTTGGAGAGGCCCTTGAGGCTGTCAAGCCCACCCCCTGCTCTGTGCAGGAATCCACACGAAATCATGCAGGCAGATGGTTGAACCATCTCTGCTTGAACCCATTCGGTGAAGAGGAGGCCCTGTCCATCCTGGGGCCAGGCTTCCACCCTCTCATACTGTTTGTACTGCTAGGAAACATGTTCTTCTGCACCCAATACTCTGGGGAAGGGGTCTTTGCCTTTTGTGGGACTCCCCTTGGACAACTAAAGGGGTTGCCATCTTGTGCCCCTGATGGTCATGGATGTCAAAAGGCTGGACACACCAAGTTCCCTCATGCTCTCAAAACCATGACCTGGTCCTGTTTTCTGTGGGGGTCTTCCAACATGATGTAGGAATACTTGGCAAGGGTTGGACCCTTCTAGAGCAGGGGTCTCCAAACTTGGCAATTTTAGGACTTGTGGACGTCAACTCCCAGAATTCCTCAGCCAGCAAATCTGGCTGGGGAATTTTGGGGGTTGAGGTCCACAAGTCTTAAAGTTTGGAGAGCCCTGTTTTAGAGAGACGGTCAGACTTTGGTTATCTGTCTCTCCTTTCTGGGTGCTGCTCCCCTGAATTCTCTGTTCCCCCTACAGCCTCGTCCGACAACTTGGCCAGGCTCTGGTGTGTGGAGACGGGGGAGATCAAGAGAGAATACAGTGGGCATCAGAAGGCAGTCGTCTGTCTGGCTTTCAACGACAGCGTCTTGGGCTGAGGAGCAAGCTGGGAGGATTCCTGTTGGGCCCCATCAGCCACTGCTGCTTTCTGCCGAGGGAGCAGAGTCTGGACTAATTCTGCCGAGGCTGCACTCTCTGCCCTTTGGTTTAATTGGCAAGTGTGGCTGGTCCCCCTTGTGCTCCCCATTTGTAGCGCCTCCTTAAAACCAGCATGGAGCTGGCAGAGAAGACTTTGAAGGAGGGAAGCTGCCCTTTCCCTGGGCAATGATGGACATCCTAGTCTTGGCTGCCTCTAGGAAGAGCTTCCTGTGCCCTGGGCCTGGGGTGAGCTGGGTCTCCTTCCTGAGGCCCCCTTTCTGCCCCCCTCCTCCCACCTGGTCCCCAGGCCAGGGTAGGCTTCATTTGGGAGTAACTGCGGGCTCTGCCTGCTAAATTGGACCAGGCTGGCAAAGGGAGAAAGGTTGCCACTGCAAAAGGTGCCCTTCCCCTTGCAGGAGGGGCAGGTCCTCACTTCCCAAGGCAGCGCTGCTGGGTCATCTGGCTTAAAAGAAGAAGAGAAGAGGTTGAACCAAATCTCCAGGGAAGCTTCGTTAGCCGAGAGGGCCAACTTCTCTCTCTAACCCAGGAGTCCCCAAACTTGGCAGCTTTAAGACTTGTGGACTTCCAACTCCAAGAATTCTGGGAGTTGAAGTCTACAAGTCTTAAAGCTGCCAAGTTTGAAGACCTCTGCTCTAACCCAACATGCTCAAATCAGAGAGTCCAGTACATGATGGTTTTTTTTAAAAAAAAGGGCTTTCTTTCACATAATGCTTGTATGGATCTGACCTTCACCATAAAGCTACTCCTATCAGAAACAATTATTTACATGTTACAGTTGAAAGCAACAAACTTCGTAAATGTATGTATATATGTATATATAGTGGCGAGCACAAGATGACCAAGTAGTGGGGTTGTTTTTCTTCTGGCTGGTCCAGAGTCCTGAATGAGAAGGCGGGAGGCTCTCTTGGGAGGCTGGAGGATTTGGGTCGAGCACGGGGGATGTGGGTGACCTCAGGTTCTGATTCGGTTCACGGGCAGCCAAGCTGAACCACGGAAGTCGGTCTCTTTGGACCTTCACTCGGGAAGGTAGTAGAAACAGATGGAGACACAGATGTTGTTTGGGAAGCAGATGTCAATGCACAGGTAGATGAGCCGCTGCTTTGGAGGATCTGTGAGGAGCACAAAGAGTGTGTAGAAAGGTGGTTTTGAGGGGGCAACAGAATCCTTTGGACAAGCTATAAATGTTAGAATGTTGGCAGGGAATGATGGGCATGGGGGTAGGGGAAAGAAAGGCCCTCTCAATGGCTCCCGTGTGTGTGTGTGTTCCAGCATAACTGGAACGCCTCAAGCAATTTCAACCAAACTTGGTAAACAGATGATTTACTATCTGGAAACAAATACTGTAGGGGTGCTAGGGGTGTGTGTGTGTGTGTGTGTGTTCCAGCATCACACTGGAACGCCTTGAGCAATTTCAAGATTGGAATAAAGAAATACCTGGGCAATGCTGGGTTATCAGCTAGTAAGCTATAAATGTTAGAAAGTTGGCAGAGACAGGCTGCAATGGTGGTTGCTCGTCTGCGGGATCTGGAGGAACCCCCCCTCAAACTTTGTTTTGATTTTAAGACCCTCTAGATCAGGGATCCCCAACCTTTCCTGCTTTGAGGACCAGCCGGGGGAGATGGAGGGAATGGTTGCGCGCAAGCGGTAGGTGAGTGTGTGGGTGAGTTCTTGCTGTTTGTGCAAATGGAGCTGCATGGATACACTCGCCTGCAGCTTGCGTGGCCCGGTTCTGAATGGGCCGCAGCCCAGTACCAGGCCGCAGCCCTGGACTGGGGACTCTGCTCTAGATCTCAGGTTTGGCTGGTATAGAATTCTAACATGAAGCCACTGTGGCAAACCTTTCATCCTCCCTGGGAGGAGATAATGTTGACTCCTGTGAGTTTCAGGAGGATTCAGAGGACAGAGAAGTTCAGAGGTTCTGGATTAGATTCGACTCCTTCCTTCTGCTCACTGTCATCTGCAGCCTTCTCGAAGTATAAGGTGGTTTGTGCCTTGGTTTTTTTTTTGTGTGTGCTTTTGAGACATTGTTGAGTCCTGGCAACTGCCTGCTCAAGTCCCTGCAGTTTTCTTGGCAAGGTTTTTCAGAAGTAACTTGCCATTTCCTCCTTCCTAGGGCTGAGAGGGAGGGACTGGCCCAAGGTTACCCAGCTGGCTTTGTGTCCTTAGGCCAGGACTTGAACTCCAGTTTCTACGTAGTCTGGTGCCTTAACCACTAGGCCAGATGTGCTCTCTTCTGCCTGGTCTACCTCAGACGAATTAAATCAACTTAGCTGTGCTGCAACATGTGTGTCCTTGCCCCAACCATACGACCTGTGCCAGTGATGGAGGCCAGATGTCCACCCTCACTGCCCTTTCCAAGTCAGGAAGGGAGCCTCTGGACACCAGATGTTGCTGCCAGCAGCTCCCAACAAACGTCAGCATTGGCATGTCTGATTGGCACCGGGGGGGAGTTCACTTGCAACTCAAAGGGAGCAGAGACGAGACCGCCTGGGGGCCTTGCCACAGCTGCACCTGTCAACTTACCATCTTTCTTCTTAACCCAGCGGATGGGCACCTGCTTGCACAGAGCCCGGGCGGCCTCTCCTGCCTCCGCTGGCTGCACCAGGCTCCCTGGCACAACCCCCAGGAATTCCTGGTAGTATTGCGAACTGTGGCTGGGAAGCAGCAGCGGGTCCTCCTGGCAGAGAAAGGAAGGATGGTGAGGGCACCTCAGCATGGCTCAAGGCCTGGACTGGCCCACTCAACCTCTGTGTCCCTCAGGATCCCCATTCCAAGCCGCTGCACCATGGGAAGTGCTTCCTGGGAGAGGCGCTGGGGAACCGAACCCCCTCTGCTTGTCTGGCAACCCTGGCATTGTTTCCATGCTGCTTCCCTCCAAAATAAGTGTTTAAAGGCCAGAGTAGCCCTGGGAGTGCTGTCTAGGCTGCAGCTCCGAGGGACAGAGAGATTGCTGTTCCTGTAACCCAGGAGTCTCCAAAGTTAGCAACTTTTAAGACTTGTGGACTTCAACTCCCAGAATTCGCCAGCAAATTAGGTTTATTTTTAGGTTTATTTGATTTGTATACCGCCCTACTCCCGAAGGACTCAGGGCGGTGAACAGCCAACAATAAAATACATAAATACAAAAAATTTAAAAACCACATAAAATCAAATTAAATCATTTTGGCCCAGACAGATTAAAACACCCCAATAATTTAAAAACAGATTAAAATTTACATATTTAAAAAGGGAAGAAATTAGGCCAAGCCCGCCTGATGGAATAAAAAGGTCTTCACAGCACGGCGGAAGGAGCGCAGATCCGGGATCCTCCGTATCTCCGGGGGGAGCTCATTCCAGATGGCAGGTGCCCCCACAGAGAAGGCTCTCCCCCTAGGGGCCGCCAGTCGACACTGTTTGGCTGACGGCACCCGGAGGAGTCCCTCTCTATGAGAGCGTACTGGCTGGTGGGAGGCTATTGGTGGTAGTAGGCGGTCCCGTAAATAACCAGGTCCTAAGCCATGGAGCGCTTTAAAGGTGGTAACCAAAACCTTGAAGCGCACCCGGAAGACCACTGGGAGCCAGTGCAGCTCGCGCAGGAGACGTGTTACATGGGAGCGCCATGTCGCTCCCATTACCACCCGCGCGGCCGCACTCTGCGCCAGTTGGAGCCTCCGGGTGCTCCTCAAGGGGAGCCCCATGTAGAGAGCATTACAATAGTCCAGGCGGGAGGTGACGAGGGCATGAGTGACCGTGCGTAACGAGTCCCGATCCAGAAAGGGACGCAACTGGCGAATCAGGCGAACCTGATAAAAAATCCTCCCGGTCACGGCCGTCAAGTGCTCTTCTTAAGACAGCCGTGAGTCCAGGAGGACGCCCAAGTTGCGAGCCCTCTCCGTGGGGGCCAATGATTCGCCCTCAATAGTCAGTGATGGCGTCAACTGACTATATCGGGACGTTGGAAACCACAGCCACTCGGTCTTGGATGGGTTGAGCCTGAGCCTGTTCCTCCCCATCCAGATCCGTACGGCCTCCAGGCACTGGGACATCACTTCAAGGGCATCGTTGGGGTGATCCGGGGTGGAGATGTACAGCTGGGTGTCGTCAGCGTACTGATGGTATTCCACCCCGAAACCACGGATGATCTCGCCCAGCGGCTTCACATAAATGTTGAACAGGAGAGGCGAGAGGACCGACCCTTGCGGCACCCCACATGAGGGGCCTCGGGGTCGACCTCTGCCCCCCTGTCAGCACAGACTGCGACCGGTCAGAGAGAAAGGAGGAGAACCACCGCAACACATAACATAAATTGAAGATTTATGGACTTCAACTCCCTCTGGAGACCCCTTGGCTGGGGCTGCCACTTTAGGAAAGATCCTAAGGCAGGGGTATCAAACTCAGAGCCTGCAGGCCGGATCCAGCCCGTGAAGTCGGATCTGGCCCACGGGGCCATCTTGGAAAATATAAGGGGCTGGCCCCTGTCGCTTTGGCCCGGTCTCCCTAGTGTGAAGAGGAAACATGTCAACAGTTTGCGGAGTGGTGTCAAGCTGGCCACGCTTACCCGGTTGGCCACGCCTGTCCACCACCATCACCCCAAGGTCAACTACAGCCCTGATGCGGCCCTCAATGAAATTGAGTTTGACACCCCTGCCCTAAGGCCACCCTGAACTGGATATCCAGGGGTGGGATATATGAGCAGGTGCACTGCGTTCCCCCCTCTTCCCTCTCTGCCTCTGGAAGCATCTTAGCCGCTTTGGTGAGGAACGCCGGCTCCTGACCGGGCAGAGCAGAAACCTGAGCCCAGCCGGCTTCCTTCTGACATTTGCAGCAAAGAGGGCCTTCTGTCTTCCCGAAATCGGACCTCTGCCTGCCACGCCTTAGGCCCCCTCGCTCCGACTTCTGCAGTGGTGGCAGCATTTCGGACAATGCAGCTTTGTTTTCGCTCACCTGACGGGAATCGCCCAAAGCCAGCCGTGAGTTGCAAACCCCTAGAATGTTATCTATGGCTTTTCCATTAGGGGGAATAACCGAGCAGCATTTCCCGGCTGAGGAACGAGCAACAGGAGTTGGGAACCATCCCAACAATATTAAAGGGGCTTCCCATAACACCATTTTTGGGGCTGTGAAGATGCTTTTAAAAGTGGGTTAAGGCTTTTTTCAGTTTTGAAAAGTGGCAAGAAATTGCACTTCCAATATTTGGATAGGCCTTACAAAATGTCCTCCCTTCCCCTTCCCCTCCCCTCCCATTGGCCAGTAAAATTGCATGTGAGGGTCGCATGTAGAAGTGGACAATTTCACAATGAGGGTCAAGCGTTGTAAGTCTTGGCTTTCATCATTGGGTCCTTCAGCCAAGCCTGAGGCTCAGGGCTGGTCTGAGATGCCAGTCAACCAAAGCCAGCTCAATCCAGGAGACAGCTGGTTCAATGACCTCTTTGAGGACTTCAAGCCCTCCTTGAAAAATTTCCTTTAGACCAGGGGTTGTCCAACCTTAGCAACTTTTAAGACTTGTGGACTTCAACTCCCAGAATTCCCCAGCCAGCCATGAAGTCTTAAAATTGCCAAGGTTGGACTGCCCTGCTTTAGAACAATTGACAGCAAGCTCTGGAGAGACTTAAAAGTGTCTCACAAGCTCAGAAAAGAGAATGAGGAAACTGAAACCACCAGCTGGTTGGGTTATTAGCAGTAGCTTGCAAAATAAGCCCTGATGCAACCATGAGGTTTGCGCGTTGATCCTAAGAACACACATCTGACATTCCGAGACATAACCCTGGAGGGCCATCTTGCTTTGACAGCTGATCAGAAATCTCTCCACCAGCCTACTAAAGCTGCATTATACCTGTTTTTAATGGTCTGTCTGGAGAGCGTTCAGCAATTGAGGCGAGTCGGAACTGATTAATGGAGTGATGAATTAACTTTTGGAGAAGGAAGCTGGTTGCCTTATGCCCTTTGGCTATGCCAGCCTTCCCCTATTTAGTGCCCAAGAGATGCCTGCTGGAGATTGGGAGACTAGCCTTCTCCTGCATCCAGAGATGCCTGGCAAGAGAGGGTGCCTTGCCCCGCAGAGGCAGCCCTCATGCTGAGAGAGAGAGGGAGGGGACGGATGGATGGACAAATGAATTGGCTAGATTCTTCTTAGGCCAGGCTGTTTCAGACACTCACCTTGTGCTTGGATAGGTTGAAGGAGGCCTGGGCAGCATCCTGATCCCGGGCATTCATCCTCTTCAGGTAACAATTGCTGTGCCCTGACAGCTTATAGCAGACGTAACCCTGCACAGAGAACCAGGGAAAGCATGAGGCCCATTAAAGCAGGGCTCCACAGCCTGTTTGGAACTGCACCGCACAAGTGGTGGGCAAGCATGTGCACAAAACACCATTTGTGTGAGCAGTGTGTGTGTGTGTGCCCACCACTTGTGGAAATGGATCTGCACACACACGCACCCTCGCTCGCCAATTGTGCAGAACCATACCCTCTCCCCCTCCTTATTGCTGCCACCACTGATCCACAAAACTGGAAAGGTTGGGGATGTTGCATTAAACACCCCACCCTCCCCATTGGGTTACACCAGATCTCAGCCCATGCTTGGGAGATCCCTTTCCCACGTGCCAAAGAGCCAGCCAGGCCTGTTCACTTGCCCCAGCAAAGAAACGGAGCAAGAACAAGAACGGTTTATTTCCGTAAGCCACCTGCAGTCACTGAGACTGAGTTAGGCGGCCATATAAATTTTCTATATCAATCAAATGACCTTCCAGGCAGCCTCACTGCAAACCAATCTCTGCATCTCTGTTCTTCAAATATGCTGCAGATCAGTGGTGGGTTGCTCCCGGTTCGCACCAGTTCGCAAGAACCAGTAGTAAAAATTTGTAGTAGTTTGGAGAACCAGTAATAACATTGGCTGGCCATGCCCCCAAACCAATCCCCAGCCTGGTTGCCGCTCGCTTACCCTGCCCACCTCATCAGAGGCTTTTTTTTAAAAAAACTTTTAAAGCATTTTTTCTACAACCTCTTCGGCCGAAAAAATGCTTTTAAAAGTAAAAAAAAAGCCTCTGATGATTGTGCGGCTCAGCTGGGATCGTCAGAGGCTTTTAAAAGCATTTTTTTCTACAACCTCTTAAGGTTGTAGAAAAAATGCTTTTAAAAGTAAAAAAAAAGTTGGCCACGCCAACCGTCACATTACCCCCCCACACCAAGTCACGCCCACAAAATAAGCCATGCCCACAGAACCGGAAGTAAAAAATTTTAGAACCCACCCCTGCTACAGATATGGGGAATGGGAAAAGGCTTTCGGGGTACTCCCAGGTCCTGGGGTTTGGGGGATCAGAGTGTGCCTGTCAGACGAGAGTCTCAACTCTGGAACACCCAATGCCCTGTCTTGGGGGTGGGGGTGGGGGCAATGAGCAGCAGGCCTTGTTTTCCTACTGAGGAGGGGGCTAGCAGCAGCCCAGGGCCATCGACTGACCCCTGCTGGCCTAGAGCTGCCTGGCTGCCAAGATAGAATCCCAGCCACCTGCTGCCAGAATAGGGCATCTGCCTTCACATCTCATTGTCCGGTCCTAAAAATTGCTGAAGACCCAGCTGTTCACAGAATGTGCCTCTCTTCCATCTCCCCACATCCCTATGAAATCATACACAATCACAGGCAGGCACACTTCCTCCCCTTTTAACTGGGAAGGGCAGCCCAGTGCAGCGTGCTCACATTCTTGCAGTCAAACAGGATGGCGGTGGTTTGGTTACTGGAAGAGGTGATGTAGTAGGTGATGGTTTTCTTGGCCTTGCTGACCACTACCGACTGGTTCATCGAGGATCCCGGGCGATTCTGGAAGTTTAGTCGCATTACCTGCGAAAGAGGCTATAATGACGCAGCACACAGTGTGAGGACTTCGGCAAGTTGCATCACACCTTCCAGCACCCACTTCTTGTAGGTCTCCCATCCCTGCCCCTTCCCAGGTTCTTTTACGGCAGAGCTGGGCAACTATGGCCCCTTTACGACCTGTGGAAATCAACTCCATGCTGCCTCGGGAATTCTGGGAGTTGAAGTCCATAGGTCATAAAGGGGTCATAGTTGCTCACTCCTGTTTTACATCAAAGAGGCAAATGGGACTAGTTTGCTGTTGCTTTCATCAAAAAGTATCTGAACTTGGCCCAAGTTGACCACTGAGCCTTGGAGATAGAAACCAGCTTGGTCAGTTGTGCTTGATTCTTAGTCAACATTAATGTAATTTTGGGGGTACCTTTGAGTGAGGGCTGAGGGACTGGCCCAAGGCCATCCAGTTGGCTTCATGTCCAAGGCGGGATTCGAACTCACTGGCACTATGCCAAGCACAAGCACTCACATTAATGTAATCGCAAGTATTAAGATATAGAAAATTGTTTTATTTCCTTTTCTAAAGGAAGCAAAGAGTCAGATGGAAACATACCCAGGAATTGATGACTTTGAGATGGTTTGCACTTTATTCAAATTGTATCTTTTAGTGTGTTTTGTTGTAAAATGCTCAAGAGACCTTAGGCAGTTGAAAATTTTAATAAATAGATACAGATTAACAGAGTTGGAAGGGATCTTGTAAGTCATCTAGTCCACACCCCCACCCAAGCTGGAGACCCTACACCATTTCTGACAGATGGCAGTCCAGTCTCTTCTTAAAGGCCTCCAGTGATGAAGCTCCCACAACTTCTGTTCCATGGGTTGATTGTTCTCACTGTCAGAAAATTTCTCCTCATTTCCAGGTTAAATCTCTCCTTGGTCAGTTTCTATCCATTATTCCTTGTCTGGCCTTCAGGTGCTTTGGAAAATAGCTTTATATTGTTCTTATAGCTGATCAAGCCGCCTTGAGTCTTCGGAGAAAGGCGGCATACAAGTTGAACAAATAAATAAATAAAATAAATATTTCCAACAATTTCAATCCTCCAATTGCTTACATTTTTAAATGATGGCATTTTTTTTTCATTTTGAATCAATGCGTCACTGATGTTCATTGTGTTGAGAAATTGCTTTGAAAAATTCTGTCCAGAACTTACGATGGCTACAAGCTTCTTCTAAAATTATTCTGTCAACACAACCATGGATTTTTTGTGCTCTTTTCATTTTTGTAAAGCTGATGGAATTGCTTGAGCCATAAAGTATTTTTTTTCTTGGAGCCAAGACTGAAGGCACTGATTCTGCAAATTCTTCAAATACGGATTCCTCTAAGCTGGCTGCCTCCCTCTGCCATTTGATTTAATGCCAGTTACACTTAATTAATATGGCCATCTAATCCTCTACAGTGAACTCTGGGCAGTAAACAATAATCCAAAGAGTTTAAGAACAATTGCAACTGCCAAGATACAATGAGCCAAATAAACCTCTTCCATCTTACTGATGAGTCACAAATAGACAACAGACAGCCACATAACACTCTTTGCTGTGCTCAGAGAAAGAAATATCTGCTGCTACCTAGTACTGAACTCACAGCTTCCAGATTGTGAAGTGAGAGCTAGGCCACCACAATGCTCAGAGAGCTTAAGGTTGACTCAGGCTCAAGGTTGATTCAGCCTTCCATCCTTCCGAGGTCAGTAAAATGAGGGCCCAAATTGTTGGGGAAAATTGGCTGACAATATAAACCGCTTAGAGAGGGCTGCAAAGCACTGTGAAGCAGTATATAAGTCTAAGTGCTATTGGTATTGTCCTTCCTTCCTTCCTTCCTTCCTTCCTTCCTTCCTTCCTTCCTTCCTTCCTTCCTTCCATCCATCCATCCATCCATCCATCCATCCATCCATCCATCCATCCTGCACAATGGTTAGAATGCAGTATTGCAGGCTGACTCTGGCCACAGCCAGGAGTTTGATCCTGATTGACTCAAGGTTGACTCTCATCCTTCCGAGGTGGGTACAATGAGGACCCAGATTGTTGGGGGTAAGAGGTTGACTCTGTAAACTGGTTAGAGAGGGCTGTAAAGCACTGTGAAGCGGTGGATTATAACTCCAGGGGATTATAACTGCTTCTCTGAGTGAGGGTGCCTTTCCTGCCACCTTGAAAGAGGCGGTAGTGAGGCCCCTCCTCAAGAAGCCTTCCCTGGACCCGGCTGAATTAGCTAACTATCGTCCAGTCTCCAACCTTCGTTTTATGGCGAAGGTTGTTGAGAGCGTGGTGGCACGACAACTTCCCCGGCACCTGGATGAAGCTATCTATCTAGACCCGTACCAGTCGGGCTTCAGGCAGGGGTACAGCACAGAAACGGCATTGGTCGCGTTGGTGGATGATCTCTGGAGGGCTCGGGACAGGGGTTGCTCCTCTGTCCTAGTCCTATTAGACCTCTCAGCGGCTTTTGATACCATTGACCATGGTATCATGCTGCAGTGGTTGAGGGGGTTAGGAATAGGGGGCACCGTTCTGCGGTGGTTCTCCTCCTTCCTCTCCGACCGCTCGCAGTTTGTGTTGGCAGGGGGACAGAGGTCGACCTCGAGGCATCTCGCATGGGGAGTGCCGCAAGGGTCAGTCCTCTCGCCTCTCCTGTTCAACATTTATGTGAAGCCGCTGGGTGAGATCATCCGTGGTTTTGGGGTGAAGTGTCATCTGTACGCTGACGATACTCAGCTGTACATCTCCACCCCAGACCACCCCAACGATGCCCTTGATGTGATGTCCCGCTGCCTGGAGGCCGTGCGGGCCTGGATGGGGAGGAACAGGCTCAGACTCAACCCCTCCAAGACCGAGTGGCTGTGGCTTCCGGCGCCCCGATATAGTCAGCAGGTGCCATCGCTGACTATTGGGGGTGAATCCTTGCCCCCCACAGAGAGGGCTCGCAATCTGGGTGTCCTCCTGGACGCACGGCTGTCTTTAGAAGAGCACATGATGGCCGTGGCCAGGGGGGCCTTTTATCAGGTTCGCCTGATTCGCCAGTTGCAGCCCTTTCTGGATCGGGACGCCTTGCGCACGGTCACTCACGCCCTTGTCACCTCCCGGTTGGACTATTGTAATGCTCTCTACATGGGGCTCCCCTTGAAGAGCACTCGGAGGCTCCAACTGGTCCAGAATGCGGCCGCGCGGGTGGTTATGGGTGCAACTTGTTGTGCCCGCGTGACACCCCTCCTGCGCGAGCTGCACTGGCTCCCAGTGGTCTTCCGGGTGCGATTCAAGGTGTTGGTTACCACCTTTAAAGCGCTCCATGGCATAGGACCCGGGTACCTTCGAGACCAACTTCTGCCACCAATAGCCTCCCACCGACCAGTCCGCTCCCACAGAGAGGGTCTCCTCAGGGTGCCATCGGCCAAGTTATGTCAGCTGGCGACACCCAGTGGGAGGGCCTTCTCTGTGGGAGCCTCAGCCCTGTGGAATGAACTGCCCTCGGAAATACGTAAGATCTCCGACCTCCGAGTGTTTCGCTGCGCTCTGAAGACCCTGTTGTTCCGCCAGGCCGGGCTATTAACATAACGTTTTAAATTGGGGTATTTTAAATTTCTGGGATTTTAATTGGAGCCTAATTATTTAATGATTTTAAATTTTAACTGTTGTTTTGTTTCTGTGTTTTTAAATAGGCTGTACACCGCCCTGAGTCCTTCGGGAGAAGGGCGGTATAGAAATAAAATTATTATTATTATTATTATTATTATTATTATTATTATTATTATTATAGTCTCAGTGCTATTGCTATGGCCCTTCCTTCCTTCCTTCCTTCCTTCTGTGTTGGTACAGTGGCTAGAATGCAGTATTGCAGGCTAATTCTTCCAATTGCCAGTAGTTCGATCCTCACCAGCTCAAGGTTGACTCAGCCTTTCATCCTTCCGAGTGGGGTAAAATGAGGACCCAGATTGTTGGGGGCAATTGGCTGACAATGTAAGCCGCTTAGAGAGGGCTGTAAAGCACTGGGAAGCAGTATATAAGTCTAAGCGCTATTGCTATTAAGCTCGCAATAAACCTATATATTCATTTGAACTGCCTGGACTCCTGACTTCCCAAGCTTGACATGAAGCTTCCAAATGGTCTTCAAAAGCAACCTTGAAATGAGCATTGACTAAGCCATGACTAAGCCGTGAGGAGTTTTTCAATCCAGAAAAGGCAGCAACAGGTACAGAAGATGAATTCGTGCAGCAACATGCCCCTCCCCTCCAGTCAAAGCTGCCACCCACTACGGAGGCAAGAGCTGCGAGGACTCTCAAATAATCCTCTCAGAATTAAAGATGGGGATATGGGAGATCTAGAAACCCATGGGCGCTCGATCTTTTTGGAAATACCAGAAGAAGTCTGGTAGCCCCTTTCCGCAGTAACACAATTTATTCAAATTGTGAAAAGCGGGCTCACCCCAATTTAAATCAGTCAAGCCACTCTGTGTGCCTGATCAAGTGAGCTGCAGCTTCTGAGAGTGTATTTAATCCTCATTTTAAACCGGTAAAATGTGTTCGTATTACAGGCAATTTATACTTGTAAAAGATGCTTCCAGGCTCACCCACACTTTTTACCACCATAGACCAACAGAGCTGTCCTTATCTCAACCTCTACAAGACTTATCTGTCTTGTAGAGGTTGAGTCAAAGCCTGCTCTTCCCCATTCAGACCACCCCCTCCCATAACCATGGATGGAAACTAATCAAGGAGAGAAGCAACCTAAGAACTACAATAAGGAGAAATTTCCTGACTGTGAAAATAATCAAGTGAAACAGCTTGACTCCAGAAGTTGTGGGTGCTTCATCATTGGAGGCTTTTAAGAGGAGACTGGGCACCAATTTGTCCAGAATGGTATAGGGTCTCCTGCTCGATTAGGGGGTTGGACTAGAAGACCTCCAAAGTCCCTTCCAACTCTAATGTTCTATGAAAGAACCTGGTAGTGTCACTTCATTGACCCTTAGCAGAGAGGCAGAATTTATATAATCAACATTA